CAGGCGAGAATTCTACCACTGAACCACCAATGCGTCGCGATGTATATGGGCGGGCGAAATTACTTTATTGATTGTTTACACGTTAGCAATTAAAACAGATGACGCTCTCGAAATACGAATTGGGTGACACAGACGACACAGTCGTTACACAATGGCATTTAAATTACTAAAATCTCCACGTCATTCTGAGGTTTCAGTTCCTTTAACTGTGAAAGTGTATTTATTCTCGTTTATTTATAACCGATGAAAAACATCAACTTTATGCAAGAATTTGAATTCACCAGTTTCGATTTCGATTCTAATCACGTGATACTTATCCAATATCGGAATCATGTATCTATCGTTATATAGTATAATCATGATGAAAAATTTAAATTTTCCTATCTACTGCTCCATCCGGATTCTACTATTATGTATGTTATGTTCGAATATATGCTTTTGTAGCAATACAGCCGGAGTTTTCTAAATAAAATTCGGGATTTTAAATTTTTCGGATTTTTGTAAGGATTCATGTATTAAAAGTTACTGTTTTTGTAGAGTTTTCTTTGTTCCAGGAGTAAAATCCTAATTTACACTATAAAATTGTCACGCACGCCTTCGCTGTTTGTCATTTCAGAAAATAGCAAAATTATTGTGAAACGCCAAAATATTCGGATATAAAGATCTCACACATTCAAATACTTTGTATTGTGATAATTAGAGCTATAATCACTTTCTATTAGTCTAATTTTGTTTAAATCCGGGGTGCAACCAGGTTATCGTTTCTACATTACACAGTCGGCTGCTCGGAAATTCCAACGCGACTGCTTCTGTTATGTTCGATCCCGAACCCCCTTGCTGCGCTACCGTTCGATGTTGATGAGTACTTTATTATTGATATATTTTGAAATCAAATATATCCTTACCTAAATTTTGTAGCCTGTCATAAGTAATCAGCAGGAGAGACTTTTTAATCATTTTTTTCATATAACTCCTTGTATTAATTCTAATGAAGTGTGATATTAATTGCATAATTTTTCATTCAAGAGTCGATTAAAATGCTTTTCATTATATGAGAATTTCCAATGATATTAATTACATAATTTTTCATTCAAGAGTCGAATGAAATGCTCTTCATTATATGATAATTTTCAAGGATATTAATTACATAATTTTTCATTCAAGAGTCGATTAAAATGCTTTTCATTATATGAGAATTTCCAATGATATTAATTACATAATTTTTCATTCAAGAGTCAAATGAAATGCTTTTCATTATATGAGAATTTTCAATGATATTGATTGCATAATTTTTCTTTCAAGAGTCGATTAAAATGCTTTTCATTATATGAGAATTTTCAATGATATCAATTACATAATTTTTCATTCAATAGTCGAATGAAATGCTTTTCATTATATGAAAATTTTCAATGATATTAATTGCATAATTTTTCACTCAAGAGTCGAATGAAATGCTTTTCATTATATGAAAATTTTCAATGATAAATTAACAAAAGAAAGTAGGTTTACTTCGAACCAGGCCATGCATGGGACTCTTGCCATGATACGTATTGCTATAATTAGAGGCGTAGGATGCTGAATATCTGGGGGTTCCGTATTAGGGTTATTCGATATTCAATCCTTTAAAAGAGGATTTGCATTTGCCGGGAATCGAACCCGGGCCTCCCGCGTGGCAGGCGACTGAACCACCAATGCGCCGCGACGTCATTCTGAGGTTTCAGTTCTTCAACGGGAAAGTGCATTGATTTCCGTCCATTTAAATGCGATGACAAACATCAAATTTATATCAACATATTTCCTCCTTGTATTAATTCTAATGCAGTATGGTATTAATTGCATAATTTTTCATTCAAGAGTCGAATAATATGCTTTTCATTAAATGAGAATTTTCAATGATCAATTAACAAAGGAAAGTAGGTTTACTTGAAACCAGGCCATGCATGGGTCTCTTGCTATGATATACGAATTGCTATAATTAGAGGCGTAGGATGCTGAGTATCTGGGGGTTCCGTATTAGGGTCATTCGATGTTCAATCCTTTAAAAGAGCATTTGCATTGGCCGAAAATCGGACCCGGGCCTCCCGCGTGGCAGGCGAGAATTCTACCACTGAACCTCCAATGCGCCGCGAGATAGATGGACGGGCGAAATTACTTCATCGATTGTTTACACGTTAGAAATTGAAACATATGACGCTCTCGGAATACGAATTGGGCGACACAGACGACAAAGTCGTTACATAATAACACTTTAATTACTAAAATCTTCACGCCATTCTGAGGTTTCAGTTCTCGAACGGGAAAGTGCATACCGTTCCGTCCATTTAAATGCGATGACAAACATCAACTTTATGCAAGAATTTGAATCCACCAGTTTGATTTCGATTCTAATCACGTGATACTTATCCAATATCGGTATCTTGTATCTATCGTTATATAGTATAATCATGATGAAAAATTTAAATTTCCCCATTTACTGCTCCATCCGGATTCTACTATTATGTATGTTATGTTCGAATAAATGCCTTTGTAGCAATATTGCCGGAGATTTTTAAATGAAATTCGGAATTTTAATATTTTCGGATTTTTGTAAGGATTCCTATATTAAAAGTTACTGTTTTTATAGAGTTCACTTTGTATCATAAGTAAAATCCTAATTTACACTATAAGATTGTCACGCATTCGCTGTATGTCATTTCAGACAAATAGTAAAATTATTGTGAGAGGCCAAACAATTCGGATATAAAAATCTCACACATTCCAATACTTTGTATAATTAGAGCTATAATCACTTTCTATTAGTCCAGGGGTCGGGAACCCATGGCTCGCGAGCCATATATGGCTCTTTTGGTGACGGCATATGGCTCCCAGAAAAATCTAATATTCTAAGACTAGGCTTACTATTGTTTCGAGATTTCAAACTCTTTTATAGCTAAATTTGGCAGGAAATTCCCAATACGTTTGAGAACGCGCGCCCAGCACATGTCTATGTTATGTAAGATATTTACTAGACAGGCATTGTGACAAACAAGGGGATTCTGGAACATATATTGTGACATCACAAAGCGATATAGTTTTAAAAACACTACGGAGTAACCTAAACGAAAAAGGGTGATGAGTATCGTAGATTTCAACTTGGGCTGCAAGTGAGCAACCGTTCAAGGCCCGCAGCGACTACATGCAGCATCAGAAATCACATTAAATGTATATTGACATTGTATGTGTTGACTTTCGAGTAAACATTTCAGGTCTGATTAATTGAAGAAATGTTATATGGCTCGCACGGAAATGCAATTGAGAATATGTATATTTTATGGCTCTCTTGACCAAAAAGGTTCCCGACCCCTGTATTAGTCTAATTTTGTTCAAATCAGGGATGTAGCCAGGTTATCGTTTCTACATTACACAGTCGGCGGCTCGGAAATTCCAACGCGACTGCTTTCTGTTACGTTCGGTCCCGAATCCCTCCTCTTGCTGCGCTACCGTTCGATGTTGATGCGTACTTTATTATTAATATATTTTAAAAAGCGATTATATCCTTACTTAAATTTTGTAGCCTGGCATGAGTAATCAGTACGAGTGAGTTTTCAATATTTTTTTCATTTGTTTCCTCTTTGTATTAATTCGAGTGCAATATGATATTAATTGTATGATTTTTCATCCAAGAGTCGAATAAAATGCTTTTAATGATATGAGAATTTTCAATAATCAATTAACAGATGAAAGTATGTTTACTTCGAACCAGGCCATGCACGGAAGTATGGGACTCTTGTGCTATTAATACGTATGGCTATAATTAGAGGTGTAGGATGCTGAGTATCTGGTGGTTTCCTATCAAGGTTATTCGATATTAAATTCTCTAAAAAATAAGGATTGCATTGGCCGGGAATCGAAACCGGGCCTCCCGCGTGGCAGGCGAGAATTCTACCACCGAACCACCAACGCGTTGCGATGTAGATTGGCGGGCGAAATTAGTTTATTGATTGTTTACACGTTAGCAATTAAACAGATGACGCTCTCGAAATACGAATTGGGCGACACAGACGACACAGTCGTCACATAATGGCACATTAATTACTAAAATCTTCACGTCATTCTGAGGTTCCAGTTCTTCAACGGGAAAGTGCAATTATTTCCGTCCATTTAAGTACGATGACAAACATCAACTTCATGCAAGAATTTGAATCCACTAGTTTCGATTTCGATTCCAATTACGTGATCTACTGCTCCATCCGGATTCTGTGGACAATGTATTGGCAGGATTCAGAGGATAAAAATTGCCAACAGAAGTGCCAGAGGGTATGTCATGATCAGAGAGTCAACTCCATTCACACCTCCATCCATAACTTCATAATTTATCAAACTGCCTCATTAAATCACTATTACCATCATGTTTTAATTTTTATTACTGATAGGAACATTACTAGGGATGTCTAAAGAACGTAAAACAAAATTCGTAAATAATGCTTTGCAAAAAATGGGTAAGAATTCACAAGATCGAAAATACTATTATTTTGTGCAGTGGAATTATATAGTTTTTTTTGTAGAGTTTGACAGTTGGTATAAGTTTGTTATTTATTCAAAAGTGATCGCAAAATTTGAGAATAACAAATTATTCATATATTAATCATTTTTATGCTATGGATTAAACTTCCAAACCATTTTTACTGCAACAAAATAACACCTCAAACATTACTCTAATAAATCGTTAGTGATGGGTAGGTATACGATTCTTTTCTCAACTGGCTTTGCAATCATTTTTTTCCATGTAATTTCCAAGTGTATCAATTCATGTGCAATATGATATTAATTATATAATTTTCATTCAATACTTCAATTGCTTTTACATGAATTGAGAATTTGTATGGGAGGAGTATAAGGGAACGCGGGCCTATTCCGAACTGGGCCACGCACAGGACCTTTAGGTATTGATAGAAATAGAGATAAGGTGTTGGGTTTAGTAATGGAAACTCATTTTTTTGCCATACTAGAAAAAAAAATATTGCATTGGGCAGGAATCGAACCCGGGCCTCTCGCGTGGCAGGCGAGAATTCTACCACTGAACCACCAATTTGCGCCTTGTAAATTGGTGTCATTTTTAAAATACATATGAAATAAAAGATGAAAAACTCAAGTTCTGTAATAAAATCTTGTTTATTTATTATTAGAAGAGGAAGTTGCATTATGCAAGCAGCAGAGTGGCGCAGCGGAGGCGTGCTGGGCTCATAACCCAGAGGTCGATGGATCGAAACCATCCTCTGCAAAGACGCTTTGATCGTATAGTGGTTAGTATCTCACGTTGTGGCCGTGATAACCCAGGTTGGAATCCTGGTCACAGCATCGGTCATTTAATTTTAATTGCTGTTTTTTTGAAACTCTACATTTTGAAGAACAACTCCGTATTCCGAGTAGCAGAGTGGCGCAGCTGAAGCTTTGTGGGCTCATGACCCAGAGTTTGATAAATTGAAATCATCGTCTGCGTCAAGATGCTTTGATCGTATAGTGGTTAGTACCTCATGTTATGGCCTTATAACCCAAGTTCGAATTCTGCTCACATCATTGGAGCTTTCCTTTGAATTACCCGTTTTTCTAGTTTAAATTTTGTAGGACGAATTTATCAGACAATATTTCAGTCATTTTTAAAATACATATGAAATAAAAGATGAAAAACTGAAGTTCTGTAATAAAATCTTGTTTATTTATTATTAGAAAGGAAGTTGCTTTCTGCGAGTAGTAGAGTGGCGCAGCGGAAGCGTGCTGGGATCATAACCCAGAGGTCGGTGGATCGAAAACATCCTCTGCTAAGACGCTGTGATCGTATACTGGTTAGTACCTCACGTTGTGGCCGTGATAACCCAGGTTCCAATCTTGGTAACAGAATCGGCAATTTAATTTTCATTGCGTTTTTTTTTTGAAACTCCACGTTTTGAAGGACAACTCCGTATTCCGTGTAGCAGAGTGGCGAAGCGAAAACGTTCTGGGCCCATGCCCCAGAGTTTGATGAATTGAAATCATCATCTGCGTCAAGATGCTTTGATCGTATAGTGATTACTACCTCATGTTGTGATCGTTATAACCCAAGTTCAAATTCTGATCACAGCATCGGAGCTATCCTTTGAATTACCCGACTTTTTAGTTTAAACATAGAAGGACGAATTTAAATTACGAAGTCATTTTCAGAATACCTATGAAAACAAAGGTGAAAAACGTTTTTTTTGAAACTCCACATTTTGAATGACAACTCCGTATATCGAGCAGCAGAGTGGCGCAGCGGAAGCGTTCTGGGCCCATGACCCAAACTTTGATGAATTGAAATCATCATCTGGGTCAAGATGCTTTGATCGTATGGTGATTAGTACCTCATGTTGTGGCCGTTATACCCCAAGTTCGAATTCTGCTCACAGCATCGAGGCTTTCCCTTGAATTACCCGACTTTTTAGTGTAAACTTTGAAAAACGAATTTAAATTTCGTGATCGTATAGTGGTTAGTACCTCATGTTCCGGCCGTTATAACCCAAGTTCGAATTCTGCTCACAGCATCGGAGCTTTCCTTTGAATTACCCGACTTCTTAGTTTAAACTTAGAAGGACGAATTTAAATTTCGAAGTCATTTTCAAAATACCCATGAAAACAAAGGTGAAAAACTGAAGTTCTGTAATAAAATCTTGTTTATTTATTATTAGAAAAGGAAGTCGCATTCTGCGAGTAGCAGAGTGGCGCAGCGGAAGCGTGTTGGTCTCATAACCCAGAGGTCGATGGATCGAAACTATCCTCTGTTAGAACGCTGTTATCGTATAGTGGTTAGTACGTCACGTTGTGGCCTTGATAACCCGTGTTTGAATCCTGGTCACAGCATCGCTAACTTAATTTTAATTGCTGCTTTTTTGAAACTCTACATTTTGAAGAACAACTTCGTATTCCGAGTAGCAGAGTGGCGCAGCGGAAACTTTGTGGGCTCATGACCCAGAGTTTGATTAATTGAAATCATCATCTGCGTCAAGATGCTTTGATCGTATAGTGGTTAGTACCTCATGTTATGGCCTTATAACCCAAGTTCGAATTCTGCTCACAGCATCGGAGCTTTCCTTTGAATTACCCGACTTTTCAGTTTAAATTTTGTAGGAAGAATTTGTCAGACAATATTTTAGTCATTTTAAAAATACATATGAAAACATAGGCAAAAAATTGAAGTTCTGTAATAAAATCTTGTGTATTTATTATTAGAAAAGGGAGTAGCATTGTGCGAGTAGCAGAGTGGCTCAGCGGAAGCGTGCTGGTTTCATAGCCCAAAGGTCGATGAATCGAAACCATCCTCTGTTAGAACGCTGTGATCGTTTAGTGGTCTGTACCTCACGTTGGGGCCGTGATAACCCAGGTTCGAATCCTGGTCACAACATCGGAAATTACCTTTTAAATGCTGTTTTTTTTTAAACTCCACATTTTGAAGGACAACTCCGTATTTCGAGCAGCAGAGTGGCGCAGTGGAAGCGTTCTGGGCCCATGATCTAGAGTTTAATGAATTGAAATCATTATCTGCGTCAAAATGCTTTGATTGTATAGTGATTAGTACCTCATATTTTAAACTTTGAAGGACGAATTTAAATTTCGAAGTCTTTTTTAAAATTCCTATGAAAACAAAGGTGAAAAACTGAAGTTCTGTAATAAAATCTTGTTTATTTTGTTATTGGAAGAGGAAGTTGCATTATGCAAGCAGCAGAGTGGCGCAGCGGAAGCGTGCTGGGCTCATAACCCAGAGTTTGATTGATTATTAGAAGCGAAATTTGCATTGTGTGAGTAGCAGAGTGGCGCAGCGGAAGCGTGCTGGGCTCATAACCCAGAGTTTGATTGAATATTAGAAGCGGAATCCCCCATGTGAGAGTAGCAGAGTGGCGCAGCGGAAACGTGCTGGGCTCATAACCCAGAGGTCGATGGATCGAAACCATCCTCTGCTAAAACGCTGTGATCGTATAGTTGTTAGTACCTCATGTTATGGCCGTTATAACCCAAGTTCGAATTCTGCTCACAGCATCGGAGCTTTCCTTTGAATTACCCGACTTTTTAGTTTAAACTATGAAGGACGAATTTAAATTTCGAAGTCATTTTCAAAATTCCTATGAAAACAAAGGTGAAAAACTGAAGTTCTGTAATAAAATCTTGTTTATTTTGTTATTGGAAGAGGAAGTTGCATTATGCAGGCAGCAGAGTGGCGCAGCGGAAGCGTGCTGGGCTCATAACCAAGAGGTCGATGGATCGAAACCATCCTCTGCTACGACGCTGTTATCGTATAGTGGTTAGTACCTCACGTTGTGGCCGTGATAACCCAGGTTCGAATCTTGGTCACAGCATCGCTGATTTGATTTAATTTTAAATGCTGTTTTTTTGAAACTACATTTTGAAGGACAACTCCGTATTCTGAGTAGCAGATTGCTGCAGCGGAAGCTTTGTGGGCCCATGACCCAGAGTTTGATGAATTGAAATCATCGTCTGCGTCAAAATGCTTTGATCGTATAGTGGTTAGTACCTCATGTTATGGCCGTTATAACCCAAGTTCGAATTCTGCTCACAGTCTCGGAGCTTTCCTTTGAATTACCCGACTTTTCAGTTTAAATTTTGTAGGACGAATTTGTCAGACAATATTTCAGTCATTTTAAAAATACATATGAAAACATAGGTGAAAAACTGAAGTTCTGAATTAAAATCTTGTTTATTTACTATTAGAAAAAGAAGTTGCTTTCTGCGACTAGCAGAGTGGCGCAGCGGAATCGTGCTGGGCTCATAACCCAGAGGTCGATGGATCGAAACCATCCTCTGCTAAAACGCTGTGATCGCATAGTGGTTAGTACCTCATGTTGTGGCCGTTATACCCCAAGTTTGAATTCTGCTCACAGCATCGAGGCTTTCCCTTGAATTACCCGACTTTTAGTGTAAACTTTGAAAAACGAATTTAAATTTCGTGATCGTATAGTGGTTAGTACCTCATGTTATGGCCGTTATAACCCAAGTTCGAATTCTGCTCACAGCATCGGAGCTTTCCTTTGAATTACCCGACTTCTTAGTTTAAACTTAGAAAGACGAATTTAAATTTCGAAGTCATTTTCAAAATACCCATGAAAACAGAGGTGAAAAACTGAAGTTCTGTAATAAAATCTTGTTTATTTATTATAAGAAAAGGAAGTCGCATTCTGCGAGTAGCAGAGTGGCGCAGCGGAAGCGTGTTGGTCTCATAACCCAGAGGTCGATGGATCGAAACTATCCTCTGTTAGAACGCTGTTATCGTATAGTGCAGGGGTTCTCAAACTTTTTGTGTTGCGGAGCCCTTGAAAATGTTGACTATTATTCACGGAGCCCCAAAATAAATGTTAAAACTGTTATTTTACGAATAATATTCCTGAGTAAGTTAAAAGTACTTTACTTAATTTAAATGCTAACCTCCTTTAATTAATAGGGTTAATACAAATCATAAATGAATCTAAATGTCAAAGATAAATTATATATACTAAAGCTGTAAATTTGACACTCGACAAACATATTAATAAATTAGGGGTCGAATCTTTAGACATTTTTGAAAAACTCAAAAGGCCGCTAATAACGTACGCGATTGCATTTTGTTACAATCGCCTATTGTTTTCGTCAGCATGGCGGTGTTTATTCTCCCTAAATCGAAAATTTCCTTCGGCATATACATGTATTGTTCCACAATGACGACGAGTATTGCTTTTTTGTTCTCGTGGGGAAATTATGAGTTCAATGTGAAAAACATGTTATCATATTATAGTCATCGGAGACGAAATGCTAAAAATAATAAAGAGGTAAATCCGCAACTCAAATTTCTTGATTGAAAAGCGGCATTCTAAAATAATAAAACTAAAACCTAAAATTGAAGATAAAACTATAAGTTTTATTTCAGCAGACTCACGTCAGATTTAAAACGCTTTTATATACATTGTAAACCACAAAATTTGGTTTGTGTTAGGTTTTCTTTGGTTATTCATCGTATTAACTGCGAAACAGAAACACAGTCAATTGTGCGCGCGATGTACCTTTTTTTTCATTCTGGATCTACCGACGGAGCCGCA